CACTGAAAATTTTCGGTGACAAGGTTTGCACTTTGAAGTGTTTTCAGCTTCTAGATTTCAATACCTCACAATTAATCACACTTCAGAACCACATACGTGCACAAAACATCAGCGCTCACTCCATATTTCGATATCTGCATCAGGAAGTGAATACTGATGAAGTTAATGTTTAAGTCTTTGATTGTTTATCCACGGGTGTGATTGAACCACCCACTCTCGAAAATTCGGAAGGGAATTGGGCTTCGAGTCGTTTTTTGTTGCAACAAATTTCGACTACCTAATGGAAAACTGGTAGTGGCCAAGTTCAGTATCATATTGAAATCCTTTTGGCAGTGAAACTGAATCTAGAAATCTAATTTTAAAGAAAACAAGACTGCTCGTATATGGGAGAAGCCTTGAATGTTCCGACTGCCTTTTAAGGTTTTATGGAGCAGTAATAACATCAAATAATTAAAGGTAATAAAAATAAAATGAAAGTTTTTTTTTAATATTTGAAATTTTTTATGAAAATCATCCCCCCACACGCCATATAAAATACAAAAGGATAGATTTCGCTCCTTGTAACAAATCAATTATGACAAATAGGCTTCTTTCAACCAATTTGGAACGATTTTAAGACGGATTAACTCTCCACTTACGCGTTAATAGCGCGAAATATATCGCGAGTTAATTGTCCCAAATTAGCCAAAATGGCAATCTTTAAACCCCCATAACTTTACGAAAAATGATCACAGGTAAAATATTTTTTCAAATTTGAGCTTAGTACAACAATAGCTTTCGAATGATATAAGAAAATTCCGTCAAAAATGGCTAGTTAAGAAGTCGAAATTTGTCTGAAGAAAAAAAAAGCCACCCCGAGCACAAATATTCCGTTACTTTCGTATCGCAAGTCGGAACAATTATTAGCTGAGCATATTACTCATCAAAAAAATTCTATTACAAATTGATCATTTCTTAGCTATTCCTTCTCGTTATTTAAGTTTCTTTGTCCTTTTCAATAGCTTTTTGTTCCGACTTTCGATACGAAAGTAACGGAATATTTGTGCTCGGGGTGGGTTTTTTTTCTTCAGACAAATTTCGACTTTTTAACTAGCCATATTTGACGGAGTTTTTTTATATCATTCGAAAGCTATTGTTGTCTTGAGCTTAAAGTTGAAAAGATATTTCACCTGTGATCATTTTTCATAAAGTTATGAGGGTTTAAAGATTGCCATTTTGGCCATTTTGATCAATTTGGGACAATTAACGCGCACTATAATTCGCGCTATTAACGCGTAAGCGGGGATTTAATCCGTCTTAGAAATCGTTCCAAATTGGTTGAAAGAAGCTTATTTGCCATAATTGATTTGTTACAAGCAGCAAAATCTTTTGTTTTGTATTTTATATTGCGTGTGGGGGGATGATTTTCATTAAAAAATTCAAATTTTAGAAAAAATAGTTTTTCATTTTGTTTTATTGTTCCGACTTTCGATACAAAAGTAACGGAATATTTGTGCTCGGGGTGGGTTTTTTTTTCTTCAGACAAATTTCGACTTTTTAACTAGCCATTTTTGACGGAATTTTTTAATATCATTCAAAAGCTATTGTTGTCCTGAGCTTAAATTTGAAAAGATATTTCACCTGTGATCAATTTTCGTAAAGTTATGAGGGTTTAAAGATTGCCATTTTGGCCATTTTGACCAATTTGGGACAATTAACGCGCAATATAATTCGAACTATTAACGCGTAAGCGAGCTTTAATCAGTCTTATAAATCGTTCCAAATTGGTTGAACGAAGCTTATTTGCCATAATTGATTTGTTACAAGGAACGAAATCTATCTTTTAGTACTTTATTTGGCGTGTGGGGGGATGATTTTCATTAAAAAATTCAAATTTTAGAAAAAAAAATTTGCATTTTAATTTATTTCATTTAATTTTTTTTATGTATTACTGCTGCTCAATAAACCTTAAAAGGCAGTCGGAACATTCAGGGCTTTGCCCTGATACGAGCAGTCTTGTTACATTTAATTTTTTTATGTTGTTTATGTTATTACTGCTCCTTAAACGTTAAAAGGCAGTCGAGACTTTCAGGGCTTCGCCTTGATACGAGCAGGCTTGCTATCCTTTTATTTGCAGTTCTTCAAAGTATCTCTCTTTTCCAAATCCGCCTCCTAGCTCAAGTATGTCTAAATTTTGTCTGACAAAAAAGCGTAGTCTTAATAAGCTGCTTCGAAAGGATATCTAACTACAGACTTAGTGATATTTTTTTACGAAAAATGCATCGTTTGGGAGAGCATCATTAGGCCAGCACGTCGAGTTTTTAGTCGTCCAATTTTCAGTTGTCTCATTTAAGATTTCATTTCATTTTCACCACGCGTAGACGTGAAGATCGAAAATTCGATGTGAAATACGAAATACGGAGCTGTTCAATGGCATGCGGAGGATCTCTTCTAGGGGGGAGGGGCGGTTTTTTAGATAAAAGTTGCAGCGCTTGTTGACGTTTTTTTTGAGGATAACCAAAGTAATTTTCCGAGATCCGCTAAAAACCTAAAAAAAGACCGTAATTTGAAGAAATGAATAAGAAATGGTTGAAAAATTGGGAGAGAAGTGTTTGAAGAAATGGGAAAACGATCAGCGAAAGAAAAGGGGAGAGGTATATTTCTCAACGATGGACTTAAAGAACGCTTACGGACAACTACCGATTAGCCCGCAAAAGAGCGTAAAATGTTTCTTTCCGTTGATGGGATCCAATCAACCGTGATGTATAGATTTAAAACCGGTTTCTACGGCTTAACGACAATGCCTGCGAAACTTCAGAGTAATCCTATCCGAGTTTCCACAGGAATACGCTTTTATAGATGATATCCTGGTTGTAACCAAAGGCAGTGAAAGTTTGACAGGGAAAACATGCCATTCAAACTTACTAAGTGATAATTCGCACAAAGACATGCAAATAGCTTGGACATAAAATTAGGCCCACCGGCGTAGCTCCGCTTGTCCGAAATACGGAACCCAACTGAAGGCGGAACCCATGCGGAACCCTCTGAAGGCTCCTCGCACCGTGTCTCAGCTTAAATCGTTTATGGGCTCGATACGCAACTAACAAAACCTTCCAGCGTTAGCCCTGAATTATAATTCAAATAGGTCCAAAAAAGTTTCTAGAAACATTTAAAAACACAAATGGCGTATTGAGACAAATCCGAGACGATCAAGGGAAAAATCTCTTGTCCAAGGGTTTTAAAAGTTTTTGTCACAAGGAAGGAACCGAAATAGTTTTATCACCAGAGCAACGGGTTGAAATGAACGAACAATGGCAGTCTGATGAACTCAGTACTTACTTACGTTCGAGAAGAAAAATTGGAATCCTTAGAGAAAATGCTCAAAAAAGCCCCCGGAGCTCTAATTTTTTCAAAAATGCCACGCTAAAACTAACGATTTTTAAAGCTCGCAAAGGTCGGGAGGCAAATACGGTACTTAGGAATTTCACAAAGAAGCCGTCCCTAAGGAATCTAAGCTTGGCTAGAGTAACTCGTTCAAAGTATGCTTGTTTAGATGAACGAGACCCAGACGCGCAACAGATGCCACACCCGGCAGATAAGAAATGAGTATACAGACTACAACGTTAAAAACAAGCGCCACCCAACAAGACTGGCGGACGACCAGATGAACAACCAGGGTGTGGATCAGGCGATGAGGCTAAAAGAGGGACCGTCGACGTCAACTGTGCCACTGGCAATCTTATTCAGAGGACGGGGGATAAAAATCTTAAGAGGGATAAAATACTAAATTCTAAAATAGTGAAGGAAAGCGCGCGCGCATTTAAACTTAGTAACGGTGCTGTTCTTAGAAAACTGGGAGTGGCGTTGCGAAAAATTACGACCCCTCAGAAAAGAGCCTCCGGAGCCATTAATAACCCATCTACGCCACAGGACGGAAAGCAATAAACGATGGCCGAGCGTTAATCAACTTCGAAATGCCGGTGAAAATTCAGAGCAGCAAATTATCTACGCAAAAAAATTGATGAGCCGACCACGGCGGTCCTCAGAATCTGACGACGAAGACAACATGCCACTAGCAACGAACAGGATGCCAGTACAAGAAGCAGCGAGGGTGCAGGAGACGTGTTTGCCTAGGCAGAAACGAGCAACCACCATACATCGATCGGCGCAAGCAATCAGGTCGGTTTTAGAAACCGAAGGAGTAACGAACCGAGGCGAAGCGAATAAGACTTAGCGATTATAATACGGCAACGATAGCGATTATATACGATCGCAAAACAAACGGAGGAACGAAACGAAGACAAAATGGAGCGGGCGACATTCCGGCTAACTGAATCTAGGGCTACGGGAGAAACGTAAAAGCCATGAATCAGCAAATTCGCAGGACGAAATGACATCAAGGCGAAGCGGGAGGAAGCCGTCATGATTGACCATATTCAAAATTCCGGAGGTGGAGAAAACTGAGCGAAGAAAGAAAAGGGTTAAAAGTGCATACACTGAGTTGTCAATTAAAAACTTTAAAAAGCAATAGTCCAGGGAGAGGGCAGGCCATAGAACGGTCGAAAACGCAACATTTCGGTCTTACCTTTATCGTAATCAAAACTAAAACTTGAGCTTAAAATTCTTGTCAATAAATCTAAATTTCATTGAGTAATTTAAATTATCTTTTCTTTTTCATTTCTACAAGAAGGGGAAGGTCATAGTGATTAAATTAGTTTACAGTTCATTTCAGATCTATGTCTCCTCATTTCAATGAAATCAATTAAACTGTCTGGTGCTAACTGTTTTTTTTTCCCTTTGGAGTTGTCTGTCAACTTCGGTTGACCTCTAGTTCTTCGTATCCGAGTAACCATTGCAGCCTTATTTTTATCTATCTGAAAGTTAAACTATCGTTAACTCTTTCTTGACACCACAATTTCTCATAAAAAGTGATTCATATTTCATGGCTAGTGTTTCATTTAGAGCGATATTGATTCAATAAGTTTCCTTTATTCTTAAAGTTTATCCTTTCCTTAAAAAAATAAAAGAAACTATATAAATTCATGATTTGAGTGAGTAGTAAAATATGAAAATATTAAAAACAACATAACAAACCTGGTATTTACAAGTTAATATGGCTGTTAATTTCAATTTTTATTACGCAATACGCAAACACATTTTTGATCCAGTTCTCTTTCTAAGCTCTTTGCTAGCTAGAGGCAACAGCCCCATTCCCACCCTTCCCACTCTCATTAAATTCTTTTTTTTAATCAAACATCCAGTGCTTCAACAATCAGTTCTGCGTATTATTCGAAAGTGGGATTTATTGATCAAAAAGTGAGAATGAGGGATATTTAGCTAAGAGTACAATTCGATCTTGTCATCTACAATCACAACCCCCCCCCCCCCTCCCTCTCATTTTGAATGGTTTAGTGAGACTGTAAAACCAGGATTCTTTACAAAGTACTTAATTTGTATACACTTAACCGTTGAATTATTCCTTTATAGGGGTTACGTTTATTTATTTTTAGCATGAGGGGTATAGCTAACAAGATCGTAAAACTTTTATTTTTAAACTGTGCTAGTACCTAAATGACTCATCATGGGACTTCATTTTCATGTTTTCGTGTTTCAGCTGTCTGACTCTATCTTGCAAATGTCGCAGCAATTTCACACTGTTTCCGTCCGACGACCCTGGATGTCCGAGGGCTTGTTCGGCTTTGAGCCGACTAATTTGGTCCTCCATTCGGATAATTAGCTTCTGCTGGTTCAGAAACTCTTCTTTGCTATGCTGGTAGTCGTCTCTAAACCTCCTTTCAAGGGAACACTCGACTTCCTTAGCGACTTTGGAAGCGGTATCTTCCTTCCAGCGAGTCATCCCACTTTTCAGCTCTCGGATCTCGAGTTCTTTCTCCCGCAGTGATTGTCGGAGACTTGCTTCTAGTTCAGTTTCTTTGCTCAGAGCCTCCTGCATATCTTGCAGTTCCTGTCTGTGCGATCTAGCCACTTTTTCACGCTCTGATTCGACATCTTTTTCTTTCTCGATTTCAAAGTGATCCTTCAGAGCTTTGAGCTCGTGCTCTTTTTCGGTTTTGACGTGTTGAAGTTTCATTTTCAAGCTGTCGATTGTTTCTCTCAAACCATGAACGTGAGGCACTAACTCCGAAACACAGGCTCGCAAATTTGCTAAACTGTCGGTTATAGGTGTTCTTTGGATACTTTTACCCGGGCTAAGGCTCCTCGCTTTTTTATCATATCTTTCCAAGTTAACTTTTCGGGGTTTGATTCCGATTATATGAGCAACTTTCTTGCATTCATCATTCACTTCCAGGACAATTGTCTTCTCGTGATGCTCGTATGCCGATTCCATTGCGCGAATCGAGTTACTCGCCGCTTCCAATTCGGCTCGCAGTCGACCCGATTCGTCTTGGATCTCGGCGACGTCTCTCTGGAGTCGACTTACTTCCATGTCTCGCTCGTCAGTTAGCTGATGTCGCAGTGTATTCATTTGCTCAGTGTGTTCGGCTTGAACCGCTTCACGACATGTCATCATCGCGTCCGTTGCTTCTCGGTGAAGCTCTTTGTTCTGACTTCGGATTTCGTCGATTTCTTTTCGCAGACTGCTGATTGTTTTCTGTGCCGAACTTGTTTGACCTTTCTCGTATTCAATCGCTTCGTTCAGCCGAGCTTGAGTTCGGTTCAACTCGTCCTCCCAGTTGTTTCGCTCTCGTTTCATAACTCGCTGGTGCTCTTCTTCCCACAGAGCTTTCTCACGGGTGATTGCCGAGCGAACTTGCTCTTGAGCCTCGAGCCGAAGTCGCTCGCCGAGTTCTCGAGTCGCCTCTTCTTGCTGTCGGAACTTCTCCTGGTAGTACATAATTTCCTGATCTTTCAGCTCCAGTTGTCGAATGTGATCCGCTTCGATGTCGGCGATTTTCATCTCTTGTTTCCGAAGAAGTTCGAGTCGTGCTTCGTCGTGTTTGTCGTCATTTTGCCGAAGTGCTACAGTTTTGTCACATTCACCTCTCTCGTTCGCAGCAATGAGGGCTCGTTCGCCTGCATCTTTCAAACTTTGGATCTCGTGATTCTTTTCGGCAATCGCTTTTGCTCGCTGTTCATGCTCGTAAGATATTTCCTTTTCCTTTTCAACCAGCAAGTGCTGCAACTCCTGTATGCTGTTGTCGCGATCGTGAAGATCGACGTATAGTTTTCGCTCGGCGTTTTTCAGATCTTCAATTTGGTGTTTCAGCTCTTTGATCTCGTGTCGGAACATGTCAGCTAGCTCGCTACTGGCAACCTGTTTGCCTTTCGAATCTTTTTCGACCGAAGATAATTTGTCGTGAAGTTCGCTATTAGCTTCCTCAGCATCATCGACCTAAACACTCAAAAAATTGTTTTCAAGTCTGTAGAATTATTTCAAAATATTCTCATTACTAAGTCTTTCCATTAGATTTTGTTAAAATTCCTTTTTTAGATTTTATGAGAGAGATCCGCTTCCAGGCATTGATTTTCCCTTCCAATTTTCTAGTTTTTCCCCTCGGGGTTTCAAAATCCTCTCCTTTGGAAAAGTAGGGATGGTAGTTTGTGAGACAACCTTCAGCATAGTTGAACTTTAGGTTCAGTTCTTACACAATATTGCCACTTTTGATTTCAGACCAAGAAAAAACCTGGCAAAAACAACGCGTTCCAAAGTCGCCAAAAAGCAGGATCTACACGTTCCTGGTTTTCATTTCGATATCATGTTCGCTTTTGGTGTAGTTGGCGAAAAACTGTTCACTATTTTACTCTTCAAACTGTTATCCTCACTATTTTACTCTTCAAACTGTTATCCTAGAATCATTTGATAGTTTTTTTTTATTTAGAGAAGTTAATTGAGCCAATTTTTGAACCAAACGCACCTTCCGCAGCGCCTGTTCTAGTTCTTCCTGAAGCGCGTCAATTCGCATCCTACTCGATCTCTGTTCCGAGAATAGCTCCTCCTTGCACAGACCGAGTTGTCGTTCGAACTCGAGTCGTTCAATGTATCCGAGAGTCGACTCGTTCAGCTTTCGTTTCAACGTGTCTCGCTCTTCTATGATTCCCAAGATTTCATTCGTATTCATTTCCAGAGTATTGTTATACAGTCGCTTAGCGTCGGCTAATTTATCCTCAATTTCGTGCAAGTCTTTTTTCAAATAATCCTTCTTCTGCTCCAGAGTTAAGACTTCGTCCCGGTCGTGATCGAATTTACGAGTAGTCTCTTGCAACTCTCGTTCGGCTTTTCGCAACTCGTTTTTGTTTTTCCTCAGGGCATCTTGAACTGAACCAAGTTCCTTCAAGGACTGTTGTTTTTTATGTACCGATTCTTGGAGCTGTTTGTCGAGGTCGCGTAAGGTCACTAGACTTCGTTCTGTTTCCTCGGCTAGTGGATCCCCGTACATGGAAGTTCGTCCAAGAGACGTATTCACGTGTGATTGGTGTCGAGACGAAGTGTTATGATGTGGGGTGCCTCGACGTTTGTTTCGCTCGGCCTCGAACTCTCGTTTCAACTTTGCAGCTTCTCGGCCAATCAGCTCTCGCTCCTCTTCGGTAAAAGTTCCCTCGTCTTCCGTCATCGGGTTTGTCACTGACAAATCGCCGTACGACCCGTCCATTTTGATTTTACAAATATGCGCCGACTTTTCGCGGCGAGCAGTAATGTAAATGTTCTACTAACAATGTATAAAATAATTTTTTTATATATATATCTATCATGTAAATCTTTTCTTTTGTGCGATTATTATTTATTTTTAATTTTCAGTTTCCGATGCGTATTGTTTGAATGAGAGTGCGCGTTTAACTCATGAAGCACGCTTCGAAATTTGATACGCTTTTTGTCTAATGTTGAATTCAAAACTACAAATGTGAAAAGCTGTCCGTTGCTAAGATGAATAGTTCTACTTTGATTTGTCAATATATTACATCTTTTACTGATTTTTTGTTTGTAGCTCTAAGAGTTTTGTCTCTTACTGATTTTTTAAAATGCTTTAGAAATTGATTCTCTTGGTACATGAAGACCAAGGAGACTGCGAGAATTTCGAAAAAGAAAACTATAAAATAAGGGAGTTGAAACTCGAAAAATTTGGTTTTCAAAACAAGACTGCTCTCGTACATGAGTGTAAAACGCTGAATATTCCGACCGCACTTCGAGACCATTTTTTTTCTCTTTTTTTCTTCTGAATATTTTGACCACAATTCGAGGCCATATTTTTTCTTCTTTTAATTACCCACAACCTATGTTCAGTACAAAATGATGTATTTAGCGCTTTCTTATCCTAACAATAAGACCAAATGATTCTGCGTCAATTTTTTTGAAACGATTCATTCTGCCGCTCTTGCTAATTACAAGAACGCAAAGTATCGCGCGTTTAATATCCGAAACTGAGCAGTTTAGCAATTTTCGAACCGCATAAGTTTATAATCACAGGTAGTTTTTTTTTTCATTTGAGCTCCGGGCAAGAATATTTTTCAGAAAGTACAAACTTTGACAAAAATGGTTTCAGTTCGATTTCAATTGACTTTAAATCAATCCAAAGCGAGTAAAAATGTACATTTTAGGAACTGAAATAAAATTAAATCAATATGAATTCATCTTTCTTGGAAAATTTGGGTCGATTTTAATGTCTAAAAAGTCGATTCAAATCAATTTGGATGAACTTCCGGCCGAAACACTAAAACCTATTCGAATCATAGCAATTTTCATTTGAAACAATTTTTAAATACCCCTGAGCAAATCAATTTTAGCGTCTGAAAAGTCTGTTTCAAATCGGTTTAAGCAAAAACCTATGCAACAAATTAAGAAAATGGTCAATAAAAAGCAGTTTAGGATCTAAAAAACATGCAATCAAGTTGTGGAAAATCAACAAGCTAAATCAGATTTTGACCAAAAGCTGTGGGAAAAAATCAAGAAAACTGTCAATACTAATCAAATTTATCCCTAATCAAGCATTCTTTAAAAACAAATCACAATCATTTTAAGCCAGTTTTGAGCAAAAACACTATGTAGCAAATCAAGAAAAATGGCCGATATAAGTTGGATTTTGAACTCAAAGACATGCAATTGAATCGTAACAAATCATTTTTGATCATCAGATTTTGTGCAAAAAAAAATGCAACAAGTCAAAAAAACTGTCGATACCAAACAGATTTTGTGCTCAAAAAACTTCCTTAAAAGTATAAAAAAAACATACAATGTAAGCCAGATTTTGAGAAAAAAACCGTGTAAAAAATGAGAAAATGTTCAATATAAACCGGATTTTGAGCTCAAAATATGCAATGACATCATAAACAAACATCAATGTAAGCGTAAGTGGCGACTTAAATTATTTCAATTTAGAATGAAAATCTGATTTTATAAAACTGTTTGGTCTGTTTATAAGGATACCAGACAAGATGTATATAATTTCGAAACTGATTGGCAATGAATATATGCAACACAAACTCACAACTGATGAAGTAGAAAAACATGTGAAAAAATCCATTTTTGTCCCTTTAAAAAATAAAAAGTAAATAAAAATGGGGGAAAATTGATTTAATGTACACCTTAATCCACTTTTGTCAGTGCGGGCGTCAAAAGCGCTTAGTTGAATATTCCTAAAGTGACCTAGTTAAATAGTCCTAACAAGCCAATCCAAGAGTAGTTTTGTTAAACTTTCTTCGAGAATCAGAACAGATAATTGTGTTCAAATGATTCAGGAAAATCTGTAGCTTATGATTTCGAAATTTATGCATTGACTTACTCGTTGATACTAAAAGAAATAATTTTTTTTTACTGGCTGCTGCTACATTTTTTTGGAGAAGGTATTTGTTTTTAAAACAAACTAACTTAGAGAAGGAGCTTAGAGAATGAATTAATTTAGAGAAAAAGCTTAGTTGAAAGGTTTAAGCATCGTTTAAAAATTCGAAAAGTTTTGAATGTTTTTGATAATCTTTTCTAATTTTGATGAAAGTTTCATTTTCACCTAATGAGATGCAGAGTAAACAAAACACATTTCTGAGGAGCTCTTGATGACTTAAGACTGCTTCTGAAGAATCTTTTTACCACCTTCGATGAATAATCATGAGTTTTCAAGTTGAATGGATTGACTGGCAATCGATCGACTCTGTCTTTCTCTGCTTTGCATAACTAGATTAACCAAACCAATAACCAAACCAATTCGAGTTAAGATCACAAAAACTCCGATTTCAGTTCTAAAAACTATTTTTTTCATAGTTATCTCATATCTGAATTTATGTATGAAAAACGAAGTGAAAACCTTTAAACATTTTTTGCAGAGTATTTTTGAAATTTGAAAATTTGATTCCTAAATTTGCGCTAAAAATTTCTAAAACGAACATTGTTCAGGTAAAACTAAGTTTTCACGGCTTGAATTAAGCATATATAAGCTGTTGTAAGCCTGCGCGCTCACTGTGTTAGGTTGAAGTTCGACCAAAAACAAAAATCGCCAACTGGTTTTTCTCAATACTGAGAAATATTTTCCAAATTTTTATGTTTTTTTTTTCGAATGAAGCCTGAAAGGGAGTGAAAACGATACATCACTCGATTCATTCTTTTTGTGTGAAAAAAAATTTAAACACAATCAAATACAAAGTTCCTACACATTTTTCAACGGGTCGGAAAAATAACCCTTTTTATAAAATTTCCAAGCGTTTTAGTGAACAATTTTCTACCCAATTCAGATCTCAATTTTAAATCTGAAATACACTTTTCAGATTTGAAATGATAAAAAGTTTACTAGTTACTAGATACAAAGTACTTATTTACTTTTAAGTGGTACTATGCTACCTACGAGGGTCAAAAATCACAATCACGATAAAAAAAGTTTTTTAACCACTTTTAGGAGGTTAAGTGATTTTGGTTAAACATTCTTAGCAAGTTAAAGATTCATAGCAAACTTTCGAATCAAAATGTCTTTAGCCTGAAAGTTTGGAAAACAAGTTGTTCATTTTCAGGGTTGATTTGGTTAATGGCAAACTAAATGAACAACTGAATTAGAATTCAAACCAGTAGTAAGCCGAGGGGATGGGGGTGGACGGCGAGGACGACAACCTCTTTTTCAATTCTGTTTGCCAAGCTTTTCCGAAAGGTCCCCCCTTTTGTATAGATTTACGAGATCTATTTTTGGTTGGCCAACATCAAAAACCTTCAAGAGGCGCTTTCTGCGCCAATGTAATTCAATTTTTAGGGGGAGCGCGCGCCGAAAAAAAAAACACTTTTTTGGTCTAATGTTCTTAAAAGAGCTCAAAACTCCGCTTTCAGACTGTTTTGTCAAAAATTTTATTCAAGAATCCGTACCTAAAAAAAGTCTCACAAGTTGACAGAAACTCTATGTGCGATTTTTTTTGCTGAGAAATGCTTTATTTCTTAACTTGCGAAAAACAGCCAAATTCTGATAAAACTTTTATCTCATAAAAATTATTATTTTATAATCAAAGTTACCCCCCCCCCCCCCCCCCCCAACCTATCGCTAAAAATTCAACTCGAAATTTTTCGAGTTTTCGGATTATTAGTTTTTTACAGCAAAAACAATTCGGGTGATCTTTTTTGTTGTTATGTTTATATTTAGTATCCTGGGATGAATTTGTTGCAGGAAGATTGGGAAAACTTGGGACAAAAATTTAGAAACAAAAAACTTTTTCTGGCAAGAAGCCAGCGTAGTTTTAACAAGTTTTGAGACCTGACTTAAGGTTATAAGTTTAATAATTGTGGCTGAAACAGCATAGATTTACAAATGTTCTGACCAGTTTTAGGAGTTTTAACATTTCTTGCTAAAAATAGCGTAAATTTAGAAATTTTCTGATCAGTTTTAAAAGATATTTGTTCTTTATTCAAACAACTCGCAAAGAACTTCTGATAGAAGTTTTAGATATGAAAATAAGTTTTTCTTGCAAGAATCAAATATTTTTAGGTAGAGTTATACAAACCTTGCACTTATCCAAATTGCTATTATAAGAGGTCGCATGATTTAAGATAAATGTCGAAAAAAAATCAAAAACGGTTATATGCTCAGCTCATTTCACTGAATATGTCGCGAACAAGATCATTGGCGTCACATTTTCTTCAGAAATGAGAGGGAAAACCGAGAAAACTAGAAAATTCAGATTTTAGTTTAAGTAGAATGTCTACGGGTCGACTTAGAATTTGGGACAAGCAGATGCCCGGGTCAGAACTTTGCAAAAATGTTCATGAAAAGAGGTTTAATGAGGACAAGTTCTAGCAGGATTGATCATCTAGTTATTACGGGAAAAATTCACCAAATCGCGCGCAAAAAGTGTCAAAATTCATAACTTTTTCAATGCAAAATCGAGACCAAAAATTGTGCTCAATCAGACCTTTGCACACAAAAAATTGCCTCAAAGGACTCCATTCGACTCCTTGAGTATCCAAAATCACTGGTTAACATCTGTTTCTCCCATTCATAGAATTACTGTTTGTTTTGTTCAATTTAAATTATCTTAAGGAAACTCAATGAGCCCAATATGCTAAAAATTGAGCATTTTCAGCCGCTTTTTGAAGAACTGGGCTGATCTATTTTTAAACTGCAAAACTGGGGTCCAAAAATCGGCGCGTTGGGCTAGCAAATTGGGTTCATTCAGCTCATTTTTTCTAAATGAGTTCATTTAGCTCCTTCTATGAAAAATGAGATCAAAATACGGAAAATGTTCTAGTAAATTACAGAAATGATAAAAGTTGTTATAGCTGTTTTCATGTGTTGTGTGCATTAGTTTGCTTATTCGTTGGTAAAATTTGAAGCTGCTACCTTCTACGCAATTGCAACAAATTTGACGTTATTACTAAAAACAGTAAATCTTCC